GGGTGGTTTGCCAGAACTGCTCCAGACAGCAGAGCTCTTCAGCTTTGCCACTGAGCAGGGGCCAGGAGAGCTGGGACCTCTCACCACCCTCCTGGGATGTCTCTATCGGCAGTCCCAGGTCCCGCAGAGTTTTCAAACATACATGACGAACGATGTTTCATTTGGCGTTTGGGGTGAGGTTGCACCATCCTATCGGACCACAGCTTTCTCAGACAGAGTCACTACCCCAGTGATCATAACCAAGCGCTCGCACAGGCACATGAAATGACACAGATGTAGAAGTGGAGGACAAAAACCAGCTCTGAAGCTCACCTTCCCAGTGATGTGGCCGACGACCTGCGCGCAGGCTGACAGCTCACATGGATTGTAGCTATGTGTGCCGTGAGGGGATTGACCTGCTCCCCTTGGTGCTCTTCACACTCAAGGCTGGAAAACTGTGCCAGAGGTAGCATGGCATGAAAGCTTAGGAAGAACATGGATCTCAGCTGAAACATTGCAAAACACTGTAAGGCATTTTAAAAATTGTTGTAAATATGGCATCTTCTCATTCAGCAGATCTGGTAATTCCATGTGGTATTCATTCACTTTACTGATCACGGTGACTTGTAATTTACACTCATCCATTCCGCTCAAGGAGCAGAGGTGACACAGCTACGGGAAAGTTAGCAAGACATGACTGATTTCCCATTCTGCATTCACCCAGACGTTGTATGGTTTAACTAGACTGACACAGGTAAACAGCTGCAGTTGTAAGAGAGAAAATACATCTGAAATGGAGTAACTCGACTGGCAAGCAGGGCAATGAGCTATGCTTGAATTGGTAATCTCAGGTAACACTTGTGTGCTTCTACCACAGCTAGTTGTACCAGTAAAACAGAGTCACATCTCTATACATCGCTGCTCTAGCAATACAAAAGCCGTGTGTAGAAACAGGCTGTCAGACATAAAACTGTCATCTTTTCATCTGCTGCAAAGATTTTTCTGCTGTTAATGAATGTATCGATAAGAAGTACAGTCACTCATCACATCACAAAAATTTCAGCTGGAAGAGAGTTGTGTGCTTATGAGTTGACTGATTTTGGTTCTGGTTTTCAAGAAAGGAAACACCAAAATAGCCGTATTAAAACATCTACATACAAATACTGACTTCCTTGCTTAAATATAAAATCTCTTCTCCGGTGATAGTCCCAATAGGAATGTTGCAAAGTCCTCCTTTGTCTATTGCCTCCCAACAATAGGAAGCGCCAACTTTTATTGACATTAAGGGAAGAAAATAATGTGAAATGCTGTCATCACATGCCATGGTTGCCTGGTCACCGCATGTTTTAGTTTACTGCTGAGTAGGCCAATATTCACTCTACCATTTCAGTCAACACAATCACCAAAAAATCTTGAAGGTATTTTACTGTTATAATTTAATTGACATATATGACATTGCTGCAGTTAAATTTGACTAAATCAGTTCCTACTGTTCATGAAAAACTGGTTGCCTACCTGAGCCAACATACTTTCCAGGGTGGTAGAGAAAACAAAGAAAAATGCTCTGAAATTAACTGAAATTAATACTTGCATATGGTTGCTGTTTTCTACTGTAAGAACACTAGCTAACAAAGTAGTACGGCATTTCTAAAATTCAGAATCACTGAGGATTCACATGTTTGAGACTATAATTCTCAAGCTTTACATAATAAGTAATAAGACACCATCTACTTATTTATTCCCTCCAGATTGCTTGGCTATCAAAATGTCATGGATCTTGGGTACAGAGGCACGTATGGAGTGCTGTCCTATAAATCCCTGACCACCCCCTCTCTTCTGTTTTTGCCAAAAGTTGCAAAAACCTGTTAATTTCCTTTTACCTTTAGAGGTGAGTAACGTTCCTTTGAGTAACAATTTTAAAAGGAGATGTAGTTTTATAGATCTGAAAAGTATCCAGAACCACACAGAACAGTAACACACAGAAAAATCAGAAATAGTGTAGTATTTATTAAAATTTTCAAATGCAGATGTATTTTGAAAAGCATACTTAATTCTACATATTACTTGTCTTAAGAATGACTCTGAGGATGCTTTCGATTGCATCAAATATATGTTCCAATTTTTTTTTCTCTTTTGGCCTTGTTTGGCAGTTATTTACACACTTCAAACCTCATATTTTCAGTTCACACTTCTAGAAGCAACTTTAAGTTACTTAAAGTGACCTCACTGACTTCATTCCAAAGCACATAATTACTATCTAACTGTAGGCTAAAGTAGAAAAGCTTGCAGGAAAAAGCACATAGTTGTCCGAACTAGTATCTGAAGTATTAAAGCCAATGACAGCCTTAGTAATGTGCCTTTTGTAGAAAAGGTTCCTGCTTTTAAATATGGTGCAGGCTAAAGCAATATTCTTCCTCTTCCTCCAATAGATACCACCCCAGAGATAAAAATCCAGCGTCCTGAAGGTTTACCTGGACAATGTAAAAAAACTCTCAAGCTCAAACTGTGTACAGAGGCTGAAATGCCTAACATTCACATGGCGTACCGCTTCCTTATTGACTGCTACCATTTCGGGTCCGAGGAGCCTGCATTTCCCCGTGAACAAACACCTGGAACAGCAGCAAGCTTCTACAGAGATTTCACCTTCTCTTTTTGACTATAAATGTGATCAAAATCCAAGTGAAAAGAAATATTTGGGCCCCTAAATAATTTTGAAAGCTATAGCGTTCAAATATAAAGTGTCTGACCTAAAAAAATAGTTTCAGTGAGTGCATTTTAGCTTGGCTTCTCAGAATGAACTAGAAAGCTAGGAAAAAGTAATATATTCTCTAAAGATATGGGATTTAGATGGGTTGTATGTTTTTTAAAGCAAGTTCCACAATTCACCTTCAAAGTCCAGGTTAAATTAGTAAATCCTTCCTGTTGTTTTCATGAGGAAGTACGACAGCACTCTAATTTACTTTCTTCATCATCAGCTAATGATGTTATTTCACAGCTCCTGATTTTCTAAGCCTCATCTTGCAAAGAGTACGCTTCTTGTAGAGCGAACCCTTGTTTCACCAAGGTTTGCGGCTTACTTACACGAGTCTTTCTCACTCAGATCGACACTTTCACACTCAGAATTCTCTTAGAAGGAAACAGTCTCCTTATCTGGATCCCGGGCCGATGAGGTCCACATGGAGTCAAATCTTCAAGAATATACAAATATACTATATGGATAATATAAAAGTTTTCCTAACCTTGCCTTTAGCAGGAGAAGCTGTTGCAACGAAAACCACGGGTTTTAAATCAAGAGAATACTGTAGGAAAATTATCCATAGGGCTCTGTGGGATTTATATGAACTCCAAATAAGCCTAGTCAAAATAAAAAGTACTTTTCATGAGCTTGTTCTGAAGTATTTAAGCAAGCAAAACATGTTGATTTATTTGACACAGCTTCTGAATTTAAAAGACTTTGCATCTGTATTTCAACAAAATAAATAGTTAACAGAGATAATACAGAGGGGTACCTCTTCCACAGAATCCGTAAACCTCTGTGTGGGACTTCATTTACTGGAATTTCAGCAGAAATTTCTTACTTCATCAGAACATCCTTTGGATGGAATTCACATCACTTAGTGCATAATAAGAAACCAGAAGTTCGTGGTGGTTTTTTTGTCAGAGTTCTAGTGAAACATCCACACAGTTTAGCCATAGGCACTTTCTCACAAAGTCTTCCAACAATTTGATACATTTTCTGAAATGCTTTTAGAAATGGATAAACTGTCCTCCACCAGAAAGAACAGTAAACAATGCTTTAGCCAAACTGTTTATTGAAAACTGAGGATTCAAGTAAGCAAGAGATTGTTTCTCAGGGTTTTATAGGCACCATAACAGATTATTTATTAGACATTGCCTAAAGGGCTTCCATAAAGTATTTTATTCTTCCTTTAAAATAGAATAATCTTTATCTCTAACTTTTGAAAAAAAAAAAAATTGGTAGATATGGAAAATATTTAAAACAGGTTTTGAAAACAGTCACAAACAGTGTGTCTTAAACAAATGGAGACTTTTGGCTCTGCTATGATTACACTGCTCGAACCCCATACTGAAGATGTGTAAATGTACTGTGATTTACCCAACTTCACACCGCACTCATGCAAACAGCACCCTCGTTAATGGCACCTATAACAGTGAACCACATTGGTGCACTGAATCCTACAGCAAGGCCTTCAAGTACAGTAAATAAAATGAGTTCAGTAAGGTTTTGAGTGCAGATACCGCATAATTATTTTTTTTTCTGCATTTACTGTAGAAATACATGGAGTTGCACAGAAGGACCTACATCAAGTCCAAATACCAAAAAGGCTGAAAGTTAAGAGTGACCTTCCTTTTTGACCTCTTCAAAGACCAAGTAAAAGTTTGTTTTCCTTTTGTTTCTCAGATAAATGATTATGCCATTCATGTGTATCCACACGTCCAGCTTTCAGAAGACAAAACACATCCAAAGCTGCTAACTTTCTGCTGTTCATCATCTGCTGCAAGAATAAAATACAGACAGAATTCTTGAACAAGGACAGAAAAATGTTACTCAATTTTTTGTTGAAGTATGAAAAGCACTAAGCTGATAAATATTTACCGTTCCACTGTCACCACCACCAAAGGCACCAGTGAAATCATTGATGCAAAGAAGCACTAGTCTCTTCCCGAAGAAAGAATTCCAAGCGGGCATCTGTTCATCCTAAATGCACCGACTTGCTCAAAGAATTGCTTTTGCCTCCACTGTATTTACTACAGTTATCATTTTAAAGGCTCAACTTATTTCCTCTCTCCACCCCAAATTTTCTGTTCTTTCCTCCCGATTTTGTGGAAAACTCCAGTTCACAGCCCTTTTCCATAATTTCAAACTTCTTTCATTATGCAGATCTAGGCATCTGAGCAAGACACACTAGAGAACATTACAGCAACACTTGTTATTAAACTGCCTATTTTTGCTTACTTACTTAATTCCCTTTTTTCAATTACATACTTTGCTAAAACATTTATTCACACGCTACATGTTGAATAAATTTCTCCAGGTCAGCTAAGGAATCGTGAAAGGACTCATCCGTGTCTTGACTTCTGATAAACTTTCGAAGGGTCTCTAAAGCGCTCAAAGCCTCATTTTTTGATGGTAGAGGGTGTTCAGCTCCCTGAAATTCATCACCTTCACCCTCATCTTCATCGCCAACAAATGTCCCAGCTTTATCAGATGCGCTTTCTTTGGCACGCATCCTTTCATTATTTGTGGGCATTTCGCAAGTTACCAAGCCATCATCTAGAGCTGCATATTCCTCCAGAGATAAACCTTCTGGAAACTCCACTCCAGCCGCTTGTGCATGTGCAATCAAATCAAAATCACCTTCAACCTCTGTGTCGCTACCATTTGCCTTGGTTTCTAATTCGAATTCTGCCTCATTATAACTTTTTACAATAGTCTCTGGTGTCACTTTCCTCCAGCACAGGTGCAACATCTCAATTGCATCAAGAAGAGTCAGCATAAACTCTTTATTACTTTCTACGCAGTCAACAAATCTCTTGACAAGACAGCACCTGTATTGAACCTTCAGACTTCTGACAGCCCCTTGTTTTGTAGCTATCCATGAAGAAGAGCCTGGAGGAGAGAACACTAATTTGACAGACTTCAGGTTCTTTACTTCTGTGTGAGCTGGGAGAGACTCGACGAGAGTAACTACCTGTCGCTGCTGTGCTTGAAATCTGTCGTCAAGTTTATGCATCCACCGTTCAAACACTTCTGGAGTCATCCACGCCCTATCATTTGCTTCGTAATCCACAGGCAGCGACTTCACAGCTTTGAAGGAGTGTGGACTTTTGTTTTTTCCTATAACAAGCAAAGGAAGTTTCTCGGAGCCATCCACATTTGTACCCAGCACCACGGTTATTCTCTCTTTGCTTAGTTTACCTACAGAACAAGTTTCCCCTTTAAAAGCAAATGTGCTGTGCGGCAACATCTGATACAGCAATCCAGTCTCCTGTATATAAAACACGTTTTTTGGCTGATAATCATTTAAGTAAGAAGGAAGAATGTTTTGGTACCAGAGAGTCGGAGCACCCACTGCAGCAGCACCAGCCGCCGCTTCTACAGGCTGAGCTCTGAAAACTAAGCCGTACCTCGCCTTGAAACGATCGAGCCAGCCGTTGCTGCATTTGAAACCAGTGTGTCCCAGCTTCTGGGCAAAATCGTTGGCCCTGAGGCGCAGCGCGGGGCCGTTCACCGGCGCGTTCAGGCACTGCGCAATGCGGCACCACTTCACCAACGCCTCTTCCAGGTCGGCGTAAAAAGCAGTCCTCAGCCTTTTCCTCTTGGGATCGAACCGCAACGACTCGAAAGCCTCCAAAACTTTCTCCTTATTCTTCATGATTGAGGACAGGGAATTCTTCTTGATGCCATACTTGGCCGCGATGTCCGCCTTCTTCCCGCCGCTCTCCACAGCGCTTATGATGTCAATTTTTTCCTCAATAGAGATGCTCTTCTTCCTCCTCACCGCGGGCAGCGGGCTCCCCGCAGCCCCGGCCATGGCGCCCAGGCCCG